AACTTTGGACGTAGCTGCTGTTTATGAGAATGCTGGTCAATTTTAATTTAATGAGGCCGCTTTCAATAGCGAGTAAAATCTGTTGAGACAATGTCTTCACAAGCAAAAGATAGCTTCATAAACTCTCCATCTTTTACTACATCGTATGAGGAAAAAGATTCTTGCCCTTCCTTGTTGATGTTCTCTCACTTTTTCACACTGATATACCAATAAATTTTTTTCGTGCAAAAATAACTCTTAAAAAACATTGAACAAGATGAAAGAAGCAGGAGAAGTAGGAGATATCAATTTTATGTCATTTAACATAAGGATTCACTTTGCATGGTTCATTCAGTTCAAACACTTTAGTTCGCGATTTCTTTAGCTCATTGTCTGATAATCGAAGCTCATAATCTAGGTCCCCCGGTTGAGAGTTCTATTCCCTGTAAATGACTCTTTATCCCAAGCTTGTTACCAAACTAGTAACGTCTCTGTAAAAGATCCTCTCCTGCTTTGTCTATTCGATAACCATCTCTAAATAATCAAATTATTTTTATTGTATTCTTCAGCTCAATATCTTGATACTCGTACGAGTCATAAAGGAGATGACCAATTTGTTGCAGCCAACAAGGAAAGAAGACCATTCTCAACAAATACGGTACGGTTCACATCATAAAAATATAACAAAATAGTGGAAGAGGTTGCTATGTCTTCCTGTGAGGCTCTATTCGCCCAACTTCTTCATTCCCTAATAAGTAAAGCCTTACGATATCTAAAACTGAAAAATCCTTGTCAAAGGAAAATAAAGGAATGTTCTCTTTTTAACTCCTAGAATTAGCATCAAAGCATGCGTGGTGATGATTCCCCTGCTGGGTGTCACGTGGCTATTCGGTCTCCTCTCGTTTACATCTTCACCATACTTAACTCTGCTCAGGTCAGTGTTCGATGGTAACATTCAAAATCATTCAATCTCTATGATTATTTTATTTTCTAACCGAGTAAGACATCGTTACAATTGTCACATGATATTTTTTTGGAATTTTGAAGACAAAAAGCTATTAACTAGGCAAGATAAGACAGACCTCTTTTGAATTATGAGATATGCAATTTTCCTTCTTTCTTGGAAATCTTAATAGATATTTGACTAGTTTGTTTGCATATTGTAAAAAGTAATGATCCTAATATCACGTTTCTGCTGCAGGGTTTCCCTATTTTTGCTCTGCAGTGCATGCGAAACACTCAGGTAAGAAAAAACATCGAACCGATTATTAACTCCATATCATCAGTCTTTAGTGTTTCGATAAATATCCGAGTACTAGTGTTAAGAACCATATTTCATGTTGTTCGTATATCCGCAGACCAGAGAGCGATTCAAAAGAAAGACGAATGTTGTTTTTCCATCTTCTATAAAGAACAACTCCACAAGGAAGAGCTCACAGGTCAATCCAAGTGGGGTCGGCGATGTATGGGCAGTGGAATTGCAGTCTTGTGCTGCATTTGAATCCAATTCGCACTTAACTTAAATAACTGGATCCAGCCGACCGGAAATGACAGTCAATTACTTAGTAAAATCACTTATTTAACAGCAATAGGTCGGTTATGATTTATCTGACCTGCGATCTGCAGCTGAAAAGAGGTCTATCTTTTCATTATTGTTTAAGCACTCAACTAGCTGTAATTGCAACCTATCTTCTTTAGGATTATAAGTTTATTTTCTAGGCGATGGTATATTTGCAGGCAAGATTCATCGAAATAAACCTATAAATTTATAAATTTAAATTTCTCATGGCTCAGTACCTTGATGACTGTACTTCGACTAAGACCACAGTCTGCAACAGACGAGGCGGGAATTTTTGCCAGGAAATCACGACTCCTCTTTCTCTAAAAAACCACTCTCGCACGCAGCTTTAATTAAATGTATTTATCTTTTGATTCTTTCGCGCTAACTTTCTGTGCCTACTGCATGATTATTTCATATTCGACGTTTCACTTATTAAGTTTACAAACTTCTCACCCAACACTGTCATTACTTTTTACTATGGATAATAATAACTGAAGCCCGGTCATGCAGATATGAAAAACCAAGGAACTTTCTGGAGCATTTTATTAGGTAACGTAGTTATGATGTAAATGCACTCATATAGTTGTGTTGTAAGCTTCCGGAATTTTTGAAAATGCTTTGTACATAAGGCCTGACAGTCGTGCAGCAGTAGTACTTGTTGTTGTCGGGAATGACTGACTTTTCAGAAAGCTATACCGAGAGAGAGCTACTGTGGGAGATTGTTAATTTGGAGGCACTTTGGGGACAACTGTAAGATTGTGTCAGTGTTGAGTTACGAAATAGTTTGTGGTGCGCTTCTATCAGTTTATTTAAGGATAACTATTCTATTTCCTTTAAGAGTCGCTCCTTGGTAAGAATATTAAAAGTTGTTTAATAAATGAGTTGGGTTTGTTGATAAATGATGTTCTTTCTGTAGGTAATAATAATAATAGTCTCCGCAAATGACGCTGACATTCAAAGTTGTTGCTTAATGAATAAGTAGATGAATACATAAATTTTTTAATAAATAAACAACTAATTTAGAAAGAACAGAAAAACCCTTATGATTGGATCTTTTGTGGATCAGTTACATTTACCCATTTGTTATTCGCTATTCCTAAGATAAGGAGTATCGGTTTAAATCGAAAATACATCGACTGATAGGGAATACAACTGGAATTCAAATGGCATAAACCAAGAGATTATAAACTATTCGGTACACATCATTCAACAGCAATTAAAGAACTTTTACACAGAGTATACAATTTAAAGTGAGAAGCAGAGACGAAGCGTTGAATAGGAATTTCAACAAGCCAGAGAAGGAGTCGATTATTTACAACAGTCTAGGTTGTCATACCCATTTAACAAATAGAGAAGCCTTGACTGTGCTCTGTTCTGTTATAAAGCACTTAGGAAGCGGCTAGAGCACGAAAGAAGTGTAGGGAGAAACACTCGACTACGTCTCGTGTTTCTCCCTACACTTCTTTCGTGCTCTAGCCGCTTCCTAAGTGCTTTATAACAGAACAGAGCACAGTCGAGGCTTCTCTATTTGTTTTATAATAAAGAATCCCCATGTATTACTTTCAATTTTCAAAACAAACTTTATTTCCAAAGCGAAGAACAGTGTCGTCAGCGTGCTCTATACTCTCATAGAGCACGCTACAATAAGCCAATCAGAAACCCTGTTAGAATGGTTCAAATAATCTGATTGGCTGTACAAG